ATCTATATCTATATCTATATCTATATCTATATCTATATCTATCAATCTATCTATCATATATATGTGTGTGTGTGTGTGTGTGTGTGTAATACACACACTCAAAATAATTTGCCAACAGGAAACATTTCTAATATTTCTATTTGAATATTTCTCATAACATGGGAAAGGGTGCAATCATGACATTATTTTTATAGCATATGCCTCTAGCTAAATTGTACTATGCCATTGTCAGTGGCAATCTCTGGAAAGGAGGGATACCCACAGATTGCTGCAGTGTGAAAGGTACAATAGGAAGGGCAGTTCTATTTGTGAAAGTCAGTAGGTTTCAAGAGAAGTATTATCAGTCTGAATGAGCTCTCATTTATGGAAACACAATGGAATACGGTTCTATGATAAGAAGATTGAAAGTTTAAATTCTATCCCCTCTTTGTTCCTTGCCCTACTTTGGACTCACCTGGAATACAGTGACAATGGCCCAAAGTAAGGAGTCAAAGTTTTTCCGGTCAGGGACTGTGTCTCCTGTGTCAGTTCTAAGACTAAATTTACAACCAAAGATGTGCATTCCAAGGATGCTGTAGGGGAGAAAAAAAGTTTTATGGTTTTTAAAAGAACATAGAATATCATAGATGGAAGGTCTTCAAGTCCAATCCCTTGCTCAAGCAGCAGACCCTATACCTGTGATGGCAAACCTATGACACATGTGGCAGAGGTGGCACACAGAGCCCTTTCTGTGGGCATGCACGTTGTTGCCAGCTGCTCTTCGTGAGTGCCGTAGTGCCACAAAATGGCAGGAAAACTGCCAAAATCTGCCCAAAAAACAGGTCATTTTTCTGGGCTGTTTTGGGGGCATTTTCAGGCCATTTTTTTGGCTGTTTTGAGGCCATTTGGGGGCTGTTTTCAGGACTTTTTGGGTTGTTTTCAGGGCATTTTCAGGCTGTTTTCAGGGCCAAAATGACCCCAAAAATGGCCTGAAAATGCCCTCCCAAATGGCTCCAAACAGGTATGTGCATGCCGGCCAGCTTGTCTTTGGGTTTCCAGTACTCTAGTGTGCGCATAGGCTCATTTGCACGCATGCGCGTTCCAGTTGCCACTCAGCGTCAAAAAGGTTTGCCATCACTGCCTATACTATTTCGGACAAATGGTTGTGTGTTAAAAGCCTCCAGTGATGCAGCACAACTTTTGAAGGCAAGCTGTAAAGCATCAATCAGTGTCTGCTTGTTTTCAAATTCTTAAATAATGATTACATTCTATTGTTCCCTTTCAAAACATGTAGGGAAATCTTTATGAGTTTCCCCAAATGTAAAACAACCCTGTGAAATAGGATCAAAATGGAACCTCTAGTGTTCATAACTGGTGGCATTGGTTAGCCTTCTCAGATATATCCCCAAAACAACCCATCCACTTCACTTCTCAATGCAGCATTAGTAGTAAAAACAATACAATAGCAAAACTTATTGATTACTTTGAAGCATTGTGAGATCTATTTTGATTTTCTTCATTCACATTTTAACTGTTCATTTATTAAACTTCTAGCCTTATTGCCTTTTTTTTATTTAAAGGCAAAGAAATTTGGCTAAGCTGAAAAAATATTGAAAAATGTCATTGTTCTTGAACAGAAGGCACTAGTGGACATTAATGCAATATTACTCAGTATTCTTTCTTTGAGAACCTCAAGATATTTCAGATTTCACCGCTTTGCATTCCTAACCAGAATGAATATATTGATTCAGTATGACAACACTGGTCTGGTATGATGGAGGTTATAATTCAAAACATCAGGAGGACATTGGTCTAGAACATTTACAGAAAAGCAGATTAGGAAAGACTGATCTTAGCTATAATTAACTTCCCTTTCTTTTGATCTAAGGTTGAAGGAGTCGACATCTGATTGTTATAGTCAAAATCCTTCTTTTGCAAACTGCATTGATGTCCTGGACCTCCACATGGCTGAAAGCTATAGCTGGTCTAGAAGGAAGTAGATAGGCTGTAGCCAGCACAATTGATTGATGCACAGTTTAGCATCTGAATATATAGGATATTGCTTTGCCAAAATGGATTTTGTTCATCCAGTCTGGTCATCTTAACAGAACCTGATTACAGTCTCCCTATGCGGTTAAGTCCTTTGGACTTGGATCAGGCAGCAGGCTTTCTCTGTACCAAACCTAGTGCCCTGGACTATGTTTCCCCTCCTTGCTTTTCCTAAAGTGATTAAAACCTTTTTGTTCCATGAAGCCCTTGCCCTTATGTGACTGTGAGGGTTTATTTTATTTTTATTATTTCCTTGAGTTTTTGCATTGTTGTACATCTTCCAGACTCTAGAAGATAAATAAATAAACACACTAACTACATGTATTAATGGTGCAGCTGATATCAGCTTATCACAGCTTAAAACTGCTCTGATGGCTTAGGGTACTCCTGGATATATAAGGTTGAATTCTCTCTATTTCCAGCCAGCATAATTATTGTTGAAAATTCTGGAACCTTGAGTCTGTACGTCTGGAAGGCACTCAAGGTGGGGAAATCAGGTTTAGGCTCAGAGATTTAATTTGCCTTTGTTGACATTTTCCTTTCTCAGTGTTTAAGCTAGAAAAGGAGCCCACCCTATATTAATCTTCCATGTTCACTTGTTAGTTCCTTGTTATCTTTCTGCTTCCATTAAGAAAAGCTAACCACATCCTATACAGACCCTACTGTCTTCAGCATGCATTTCATCTTCCTACCTGAAGATAAAGATAAAGAGCATGAGGAGCATGCAGAAGGTTGCTACATTATCCATTGTCTTCATCAGTACCACAAGTTGGCGCCGCAACGCAGGCATGAATCTCACCAGTTTCAGCACCCTCAGTAGCCGGAATGTCCTCAGCACTGAGAGGCCACCATCAGCCTGACCTACAATCTCCCAGATGCTGCAGATAAAAGCAATCAGAAGAGGAAAACTGACACACAAAACACACTGACACACAAAACTGAGAGAGAAACTACTAAGAATCATAATAAGATTGGAAAAATAATAAAAGGGATTCAATAAACAACCAATTTCATTCAGTCATCTTTAATTAGGTTTAAGTTCTAAGCAGACTCTACGTATGAGAACATTTGTGAGGGTAAGAGAAGTGTAATTTCTCCATCAAATGCACTGGTAACTATAATTCAGGTTTCTGGTATAATCCAAAGGCTTCCTTGAGCTTCTATATAAACCCTAGCTAGAAAGGCCACTGCAATTATGGGAGGTGAGAAATCCAGAAGATCTGGAAGGTCCAATCTGAGACAACTAAAAGAATATCTGACTTAAGCATTTGTCATCAAAATATATTTTGTAAATATACTTCTGAATAAATGTGTGTTTGTGTGTCTAAGGATATATTTATGTGTGTGTGTGTGTGGGGGGGGTGTTTATCTGTGTCCGTGCACACCTGGTTGTGTATCTATAGATACAGATATATCTGAGGAAGTGAAGAGGGTGAACAAAAAGTTCATTAAACGAGCAAAGAGTAACAGCAAAGGATTTTGGCAGGGAGGAATAAAAGAGAAAACGGATCAAAGGGAAGATGAATTAGAGAAAGCACAGATTACTGTTCCCTGAATGTTACTGATGCACATGGTACTGCTGATTGCCCACTGGAGCATCATTTGTTGCCAACCTATTTGAAGCAACTTTGGGACAAATATAAGGAAGCAGTTCGAAGAGAACAAACTGAATAAACAAACAGGGAGCTGTGGACAAACTTAAAGGCGAGCCATTTATTTTTGTTTTCTTTATTGTTCATATAAAGAATATGAACTGTTCTTGTGACCTGCAGGGGCCGTGCCATGTTTGTTTCTTTCCCTAAAGATGACAATCATTAAACATGCTGCAAATGCAGGCTCACAGCCTTGCTGTAAGGGAAGGTGAAGAGACTAGAGGCAAAACTGTCCATTGCTCAATATAGTGTCAAGATCAACATAAGTTTTTTTTCCAGTGGAAGAGAGGGAGTGATTTCTCTCTATTCTGCTTTGATTGGACCACAATACATTCAATTCTGAGCACAGCATTTTAGAAAATACATTGACAAATGGAACATGTCCAGAGAAAGCAGCCAAGTTAATTAGGGTCCTGATAGAAAAAAAAAGTAAGACAAATGGTTGGAGGCACTGGGCACGTTTAATCTGGCGAAGAGGAGTCTACAGAGACATGATAACTGTCTTCTAGCATCAGAAGGGCTGTCATGTAGAAGACAGGGCAGAATTTTTCAGAGTTGTTCCAGAAGACACCATGATGGGTTTAAACTATGGAAATTAAATTATGGGGAAATGGATTTCTGTGGGATATCAGGAAAAGTTTCCTAACAGTGAGAGTTTTTCAACAATGGAAAAGACTGCCTGGGGGAAGATGCTGGACACTCTTTAATTGGAAGTGGTGAAAGTGGGGCTGGCCAGCCATTTATCAGGCAAGCTATAGAAAAGGTTCTTGCATTGAGCAGCTGGAATGAATCAGATAATCTCCAAAGTCCCTTCCTGACACGCCACACCATTGATTCTTCTATGTAGGTACGTGTCTGATCAATAATTAAGACTGCCAAGCAAAGTAGCCTCTTTATCTAGAGACACACACACACAAAAATCATCTAATTCTTTTCAAATATATTCAAACTGATGACTGTGGCTACATGTGGAGGAAATGCCATTGTTTAATCATAGATTAAGACAGTTATGTAGGAACGACTAGCACACATGTGCGAGGGGAACCTTTACCTTACCTTTATCTTAAAGACAGGAATTCTGAATATAGAAAGAAGAGATAGAAACTGAATGCCATACCTAGGAATAACATTTTACTTTACAGGTAGACCTCACTTTAACAAAGTCCCTCTTTAGCAACTGTTCAAAGTTATAAAAGTCCTGAAAAGAAATAACTTGAGGACAGGTCTGAGCACTTGTGGTCCTCACAGTGTCCCCACAGTTACATGACTGAGATTTGTGTGCTTTGCAATCAGTGAGCATTTACTGAGGTCGCAGTGTCCCATGGTCATATGATCACTATCTGCATGCTTCACAACTAATTTCAGACAAGCAGGATCAATAAGGAAGCTGGCAGTAAAATCATGTGTCTCAGTCACGTAATGTCTCACCTAACAAACGTTAGAGGCGTGCATAAGTGCCCTAATGTGCCTATTGTCCCTGTCATTGTATTTTTATTCTCTTATTCTTGTTCTTATTTTTTGTTTGACAAATTCCAATAAATAAAATAAAATAAATAAATAATACCTCTGTTGCTGGCCCCAATTATGGTCATTAAAACAAGGACTACTTTAGTTATATTTATAGTTTTGCACAAATTATTTGTTATGCTGATCCTGTAATATGGCACTATAAAACTGGAAAAAAATATTTAGTAAGGATTTAACACAATATTCCTGCTTTCACATTTGGCAGCGTTCATTTATAATGCAAACATCTGGTCGAGTGTCTTATTGCCAGTCACTCTCTCTCAGCCCAACTCTCTTCACAGAGTTGTTGTTCTGAGGTAAATAGGAGGAGGTGGAAGTAGTTAGTTATGTTACCACCTTATTTATAAAAAATAGTAAAGGTAGGATTAAAAAAAATCTAATAATAAGAAAACATAGACTATCCTGAAAATAATTGATAATCTGGTGGCAAAATTTGAAATATAATCAAATCTTCAGGTTGCCTGACTCTACACATAAATTTGGGTAATTATACTACATTAATTTAAAAGGCTAGTTCAAAATAATGATGTAAACATAATTCATCACTAGTAATCATTTGCTAATCCCATTCCTTATCCTTGGGCAAAATGGATTTATTTAAAAATAATATGAATTATCACAATGTGGGCACACACATGCTTATAATTAGTAGACACGACTTAGCTTTGATCTACTCTAATTTGAGTGGCAAGAAGCTAGCTGTCATCATCCACTGCTCTTATGCAACATTTCATTATTGATTCAATAGAGATTTGAATTGTCATTACCTGATGATGACAATGATACTGTCAAAAATGTTGTATGGGTTGCGAAGGTAATCAAAGAGACCAAAGGCGGCAAGTTTCAAAATCATCTCCAGGGCAAACATGCTGGTAAACACAACATTGCAAATTTCCAAAATATTTGTCAGCTCCTCTGGCTATAGACAAAAGAAAGAAGCCAAGACATCAAATGCATTTAGGAAATGTCACATACTTTTCTGGATGGGATACATGAAATGAGAGCACCTGCCTTTTAAAATAAGGGCATTTGGAGCCTTTCAAATATCTTCCTCCAAGTGTACAATGAATGTAAACCTCTAAGGCTACTTATCTCTCCAACATGTAATGAATGTTGATATTTTCCACTCCTTTCTTCCCCTTTTTAATTAATCTCCTTTCTAATTTGTGTGGTCTTTCACTCCAGCACTGCAGTGTCTATTAATTTGGTAATGTATTCATTTAAAAAAAGAAAGGAAACTGATTTAATTGCTCAGTACTTGAAAGCAACTGAGAACTGTGGAAGTTGCTCTAATTTTGAAATAGACATTGGATTTGCTATTTTTGCCCCAGTAACCATTTATGATGATTTCATGATATAACTCAAAATATTTCCATTGTTACTTTATGATATGGCCATTGCTTGTGCAAATTCCACAACACTGTTTTGCAGCAATATTTGAAGTCTATCTGTAATCACTGGATTTCTTTTTATATATTAGCAATAGCAATATAGCAGTTAGACTTATATACCGCTTCATAGGGCTTTCAGCCCTCTCTAAGCGGTTTACAGGGTCAGCATATTGCCCCCAACAACAATCTGGGTCCTCATTTTACCCACCTCGGAAGGATGGAAGGCTGAGTCAACCCTGAGCCGGTGAGATTTGAACAGCCGAACTGCAATAGCAATAGCAGTTAGACTTATATACCGCTTCATAGGGCTTTCAGCCCTCTCTAAGCGGTTTACAGGGTCAGCATATTGCCCCCAACAACAATCTGGGTCCTCATTTTACCCACCTCGGAAGGATGGAAGGCTGAGTCAACCCTCAGCCGGTGAGATTTGAACAGCCGAA